AGACTTGGAGGCCTACCTATCACATTCTTTACTGTCTGATTGCCAGTCAAATATATTGATAATTCCACATTTTGCCATGTTTTGCTAACTTTTAGTGCAATTATTTTAAGAAATGTCACATTCTCAGGATAACATATTTGCTTTTTAAATTAAGAGAAAGCTACTCTTTTTTTTTTGCTAAAATGCTCATAACCACAATATATTTGGGGTTGGGGAATTAACATTTATTTAGTAATTATTTCAGTTTATTTTAAAGAAGTGGAATATGCAGTTCCACAATTCTAAAGCATTCTTACAACTCCCCTACATATGAATGTCATACCTTGTCGCGGATATCTTCAATTATCTTGTAATAATTACTGTAGTCCCGGGCTGGGCTGGTGGGAGCTTGCTTCTGGTACCAGTCTCGGATTTTAACTTCTAAATCCGAATTTGCCTCTTCCAGTGCTCGTACCTTGTCCAGGTACGAGGCCAGACGGTCATTCAGATTCTGCATAGTTATCTTTTCATTTCCAGAAAGAAGGCCATCACCACCACCAAAGCCACTACCAATTTCAAAACCTCCACCAAAGCCAGCTCCCCCACCAAAGCCAGCTCCTCCACCAAAGCCAGCTCCCCCACCAAAGCCAGCTCCCCCACCAAAGCCACAGGCTGCACCACCAAAGCTGCTGTAGCCTCCTCCATAACCACTACCAAAACCAGAAGAGAGGCCACCACCATATCCACCTCCTACAGAGGAGACATACCTAGAGACAGAGACACCCCTGCCACCAGATCCTCCATGGATGCTTGGAGCTCGGCAGGTTCCTCCTGCTCGGACAGAGGAAAGGCGAGAGCTGCTGCTGCCACCACCCCCAAAGCCCCCACCGTAGGTAGAAGAAGAGCTCTGCACGAAGGAAGTAGCCATGGCTGCAGCACAGAAGGCGCTGATGGCAGTTGTTCAGCTTGGTGTAGAAAAGGAAAATATGTGCCTTCCCTGCCCTGGTGCTTCTTTTATATCCTCCAGGTAGGGTGTTAGGAGAGAAACCCAACCTGCAGCCCTCCCTCCCAAATTTCTCCTCCCTTGAGGTGAGGCCAATTGTGATGAAATTGCTCACAAAGAGAGCTGGCTGTGTGTCTCAGGGGCTAGGGCTTGGGGTTTTAATTAAACAAAAGAGATGATTCAAGATGAGTGTTTTTTCTTCAGGCTATAGTTCTGAAACTTGGAGTTTTCTTCTCTGACATTTAAGAATGGAAAAACAAAGTGAGTGGGACCACACCCATCCAGCAACCACCATGGTTATTTTAAGCAAATCAACTTTTTCTGAAAATGAAGTTTAAGTAAAATTCTCCTTTTGTTGAAAAATGTACAATCATCAGTTCATCTCACCATTATTTCTTCTTTTCTATCCATATTTTTTTCCATTAACAGTTTGGAATTGAACTTGATATGTTCTTATTCCTGTTCTTTGCTTAAAATTAGCACCATTATTTCTTCTTTTCTATCTATATTTTTTTCCATTAACAATTTGGAATTGAACTTGATAATGTTCTTATTCCTGTTCTTTGCTTAAAATTAATATTTAGATTTTGGAGTCTGAATTTTTAGTACAAAAAGCCCATAGTCATAGTGTTGTGTGAGCAACAATTGGCATCGATCACTGTACAAGGACGAGCGGGCACAGTTCGTTTCCTAATGCCTGTGAAATTGTCAAGAAGGGCAACACAGGATTGAAATAATTCAATTAAAAGAAGGAATGGGGCAGGACTAAGTTCCTGTTACTTTTGGAAAACACAAACAAATTGAGTTTAAGGTGAAACTGTTCAGATAATAATGAACGTGTTTAATGCCAGTATGCACTATGAAATGGAGTAATTCTTGAAAATGTGCTTTGAGGAGCACTTAGAAGAGTCATATTAATCCTTCATTTAAAGCAAGAGTCTGAAATACCAGTGTATTTCAAAACCAGTAATGTGCTGGTGAAATGGGAAAGGCAGCGATCCAGTAACGCAGCTCTGCTCAGCGCTGCACCATTCTGGGAAGCCAGATTTGGGAGGGTTTTAAGGAAGTATTAACTGCTCGTTTACCCGCTGGGGTGTATGTACTGGGGATAATGGCGGGGGGAGAGGTGGAGTGTGGCAGCAGTGTGGAATTGGAAGAAAAAGTCCCATTTCTTTGCCCAACACGGTGATGTTCTTCAGATGAAAGCCACAAGTTGCACTTGCAGAGTAGGGGGTGGTGAGGGAATAAATGGGTGCTGAGGCACATCGTGGTTTGAGGAAACTGGGGGTTGACAGGAGGGAGAAGAGCAGCGACAAAGTGAAGATGGGAGGAACTTTCTCTGGTCTCTAGTTCAGAACCACCAAAATTTTTTTTAAATAAAGAAAAAACCCCCAATACCTGTGCTGAGAACATAATGAGGAGAGCACTGGTTTTAGCAGTTTTTGGCAGTACTTATCAGCAGAAAATCACCTTAGAATTCAGGACGAGTGATTTCAGATCAGCTGGGGCTCGTACCAGTTGCTGGAATAAACCCAGGGGGTTTCTGAAATCTACAGTTGGGACTTTAGTGCAAGCGCGGGGAAACGCGCAGCCTTTTTCCGAGGAAAGCCGAGTACCCAGGAGGGAGAAGCCTCCCAACTCTGGCTGTGGCACACAGCGTGGCAGCTGGCTCCGGGGGTGCCCGCTCAGCCTTTGGCGGCGTTTCGCAGTTGTGGCAACATGTTTCCAACTGAACCTGGACCTTTGCCACAGCAGTTCGGTTTTGCTGCTGGGCAGATGAACAGTTCTGCCAAATCCCTGTATCGCCAGGAGTCGGTATCTCAGGAAACAAGTTCAGACAAACTCTCCTAAAGATAAAAAAGTTCCTTTAAGACTCCCGTAGTGTAAATATCCTGCGGTGTGCATGGTGCTGGGGGCTGTTTAACTCTGAGTGATCCCACAACGAGCAAGATTAAATTCCATTAAAAAAAAAATCTGGCAAAATCACTTCTAGAAAGCACCGTAAACTTTAACAGGAAACTTTGGGGATTTTTCATTCAGTCTTCTTCACTTCTTCACTCAGTCTTCATAACTTCTTTGGGAACTCGCTGGTGAAACACCCTTGGCTGCTTTTCCAGTGCCCTGCGTGTTGTTCTGGATTGTCAGAGGAACACTTCCAACAGCCAGGAGGCAGGTGCAGAGCTGTTTCTTTCCTGTAGAATGTCTACCATTAGGAAAAATAAAAATGAATCAAGCAGCCAATACAGGTTATGTTCTCTAACGTAGTTCAGAAAACCCTGGTGGTGGGGATTTGGAGGCTGTTTCAGTCTTGTTTTGTCACGAGAACTTGCTCTCAGGGAATGAGATTTGTTAAGATTAAAAAACAGACCCGGAGCTGTTTGTTCGTTCATCTGGGAGGATTCCGGGTCTAACTGTTGTAGGGAATAAATTTGGTACAAAGCGTTTACTCGAAGGTGTGCCTGCACGCAGGAGCAGCCTGTACCCCAGTGTTGGTGCACGGGAGTTTTCCTCTCCCTGCTCTTCCGCCACGAGCGCCGTGTAAGCGAGTGAGCTTCTGCAGAACCGCTTGTGTCTCGTGTGCCGGTGCTTTCCGTGCCACTGCTGCCCTTCGGTTCGGCACGTTTCCCCCAGAGTGCCTTCGTCCCCCTGTTCTCCCAGCTCGTCCTCTTCTCTTTGCTGATTCTTACGTTCCGTGACTGTTTTTCTTCCCTGCCGTAGCTTCTCCCTGTCGTGGTGAAGCCACTGCCTGGATTTCCAGAGGCCGAGTGGGGATGGTGTGTGCCAGTACCTGGCAGCTGATGCTGACCTGAGTCACGGCTGAGCCAAACCCAGGCACCAGCACCTCTTGTGAGCAGGATTATCGTAGATTATCACAGATTGCCCAACCTTGGGAGAAAGGCCCGTGGCTTTGGGATGGCCCTCGCTGTGCGAACCCTCCATTAATCTGTAAACTGGTCATGAACAAGGGTGAAAGCATTATTCCCTCACAAGTTCAAGGAGAGAGGTGCTGATGGATTTGATGGTGTCTCCCTGAAACAGGCTGCAACCTCACCTGCTCTGCTGCAGCGCAGTACTGGGGTGCTTGGTCCGGGCGGGCTCTCGTTTCAGCATCGCCCCGAGTCCATTAGCGACGTGCCGTTTGTACTGGGGGGAGGTGGGAACGGCAGAGTTCAGCTGTAGCCCTGATTTTCTTTTAGCACAAACCCTGAGAAGTTTCCTTGGCTGTAAGCTCGCAGAGGGACGGTTGGAAATGACTGATTTCTGGAGGCCTGAACTGAAAGTGCTCACATTTAGGATTTCAGCTGGGATAATATCCTTTCAATGGCGTGAGAATGAAATGGCGAAAATTGGTGCTAATGGTTTGGTACTTCTGCATGAATTGGGGACAAGAGTGAAGGAATCTCACAAGTGTTTCTCACTCCTGTGTGTTTCAGCAG